CCACGAAATAATTTGATCTATGGACAGCATCATTATGGTAAAGGTCGTAATGCCAGATGAATCATTACCGCGGGACATAGAGGGGGAGGTCATAAGTGTCTATACCGTAAAATAGATTTAAAAAAAATGAGTCAATCGTTCAAGTATTCGAAACTGCTGAGCGGAAGCGAGACGTATGTATAGGGTATGAAACGATAAAATCGTTTTTGATTGGACCAAATATGAGCCTCCCGTAGAAGATGGAAGAAGATATACAAGAAATCAAAGACAAAGAGGAGAAAACACTTTTCCGAGACAGGAATCGGCACCTATCTAATGAATTCACGGTAACCTGCATGCGGATGCTCACGATTTCGATAGCCATACCAGTTATTTGGAGGAGATCTCTCGAAAAGTATTTAGTGCGCATTTTGGTCAACTCTCCATCATCTTCCTTTACAAATTGGTATCAATATAATAGTATTCTTTTGAAAGAAGTCAAACGCGCTGAGGATTGGAATATTTACTGTTCTGACGTAAAAATAAGAATATGACGCTTAGTACCGTTGATAAGTATTGATACCGAATAGATTTCTTGAATAATCACGATGAAAAACACAATATGTAATAAATAATTAAAGAGAAAATACAAGCAAACAACCGACGGATTTAACGTGGTTCCACCACTGAAATAATGATATATGTCTACAATCAGTATTTCAGACGTCAGAACCAATGTTGCACTTCATAGACGTTCATAGCATGCCCCTTGTAGACGTTCGTAGGGTCTTCCTAATACTTTTTTTTGTACCGGTTTTTTTTTCTATGTTGCAAGTGAAGTTTTAAATGGCGTGATGGCAAACCATGCCTTAAGCTTTAGTGGCCACAACATTTTCCCGGCATGACTTATAACGGCAAATGTCTATAATATATATATATATATATATATGCATACATATTTTTATTGGGTTGCATTGGTTATACAAATGCGATTGATTGTATTTGAAACGAACTAGGTTATATACTTATATATTAAAAGCTTATAAAAAAGACATTAAAAAGGTAAGAAAAACTAGATATCTCGTTAAAAAACTGCACAATAGGACATGACACGCCACAATCCTTGAGAAACACAAGCCTTGAGCCACAATGCATCATGGCTGTTGCTGCGATGAGCCCTTTCGAACAATGGTCACGACACGTCACGACGGCTAGTTGTTGTGACAAACTTTTTAGAACACTGGTTACAAATACTCTAAACACAAACAAATGCACAATTCTACATATGAAAAGTGGAAGAATATGTACATAACTATTGTTACAGCAATGACGAGAATAAATAAAACAATAAACAAGTAAGTAAAGACATTTAAGAACCATGAAGGGACTCGAAAATGGTCCTTGTTTTCTTTTAAAATAATCTTATATCATGTACTAACCAAATTTTCTTGGTACTAAGGGTCTGTTTGGCTCATGCTGAAGAATGAAAATGAAAATGACATGAAAATGTGAATGAATTTTCATCCCACAGTTTAACCAGGAATGAAATTTTGGGCTTCTATGGGAATGAGCCCATTATATTATAGAAAACCATACAGTTTCTTTTATTTTCATTCTCATTAAGTACTGCTTAATACCTTTAACTATACACCCTTTAAGTTTTTTCGATTGATATATATATACATATATATATATATATACATATATATTTATATAAATCAATTAAATATATATTTAATAATTAATTAATTAATTAATCAATTAAATATATATTTAATAATTAATTAATCAATTAAATATATAAAAATCGATACAGTATAGTAGCAACATGGTACACGACTCATAATACAACCTACCAAACAAGTTTGCATACTTGATATTGTATTATCAATATAATTAAATCAGTACCAGTTTAATTGGTACAACCAGCATCCATGTTGATTGGTTTAATTTGCTACAAATTTTGACACCTATTGCTTATAGGGGAAGACCTACGAAGCCCCGAACGGGTTCCCATGCTCCCACTCAACTTATTTTCGCAAGTAGGAATTATTATTTTTCCTGTATAAAGCTGCACCCTCTAACCTTCGAGGATTCTTTGCAATATTAGAAAATACAAGAAACATCAACCCAAAAACTTAAAAATCTTTTGAAATCAACCAAACAAACTTATAGAATCCCTTTTTACAGTGTGAGTCGGCTAAAAAAACACATCAGACAGCCTTATGCGCTTTTGAACCACCTTAAAGATACACCCACTCAGTAAAATACCAGACCAGCCCCTGATTGCCTACACAAGATTCTTAAAAACGTGTCCAAAAACAACCCCGCTTCAAAATCGAACTTGTTGGTATTTGTGTTTGCAAGATAAAGAATCATTGTTGGTTGCGATAACGACCCTTTTTCGCGTTTTTTTCTCGGCCTTTCTTCGATTACCGTAAACGTATAAAGGAGGCATGGTAGAGTGAGCATGAAATCGAAAGGTATGGTAGTGTGGGGAAGGGACAACAATGGTGTCGCTAATATGAAAAGGTAAAATGGGATGGGAATGCATGAATACGATGCCACATGCAACTTGAAGAGTGATGGTTTGAAACAAACAAAGCAAGAAAAAAGGGTCATATTCTTTCTTCAAGGAATCAATTTTGCTTGGCTATACGTCGAAATTTTGGCCCATGCTAGTTAATGTTAGAGTAAATTACGTTTTTAGTCCTTGTGGTTTGTTGAAGTTCGTGATGTTCGACTTGTTTAGAAATTGCGGTTTTATAATAGGGGATGTTTGTTTACCTCTTAATAGTTCCATTAAGAGACAGCCTCTAAATCGTTAAGTGGTAAATCTTGTTTGGTACAAAAAAGTATGTCTCTTAATGATTCTAAAATTCTTTGAATGATTTTGTATCTTGGGTCCCTCTTAACCATTCAGCGCCCTAATTTCGTTGTAAATAATTACCAAATAATTATATTTCATTTTGCACTATATCATGAAAGTCTCTTAATCATTCTGCACTAAATCATTCAACAACTGTCAAACAACCCCTTATTGTTTGTAATTTATTGCTATTTTGATTCTTATGATTTATAATTTAGTGTTGTTTTGGTCCTTGTGGTTTACAATTATTTACTTCTTTGGTCCCTCGTACTTACATGTATGGATTGGTTCAGAGATGAAAATAGTAATGAATTATAAACTATAAAGACGAAAATCTCAATTTCTAAAGTAGAGGGATGAAAATAGAAATTAATAAACGAATCATAGGGACTAAAGTTGTAATTTAGTTTTAATGTTGCAATCAAGAATATTTGTTGTTGTGCACCGTACACGCGTTTCCGTAGGTTGATCATGTGTCACCATGGTTGTTTTGCATGCACGTGTTTTCGTGGGGTTGGCACCTAAGGAATTCATTCCACAATTTTTATTATCTATCCAATTAAATCACTTGACGATCATGGATTTTTGTCGAATGGTTGTATATACAGGGGTGTTTGAAATTATTTATTTGAAACAACTTATATTTTTTTCTAGAAGTTCTTATCGATTTATTATAAGTTAGAATGATTTAACTTTTTCAAAAACTTTTTACTATCGATTTGAGACTGGTATAAATTCTTTATCCAAATACTCAAAAATATTTATCATCGATGTCACACCAAAATAAGTCAATAAGTTGTTTTTATAAGCAATTTCAAACACCCCCTTAAGATGAATTAAAGGTCAATAAAGTCGTCTGATGTGTTTTTTTTTTACTAATTCCAGTGTTTCAAATAATTTTTAAGTTTTCTAGGTCGATTTTGATAAACTTTTTCGGTTTTTTAATTGATTTTAAAATATTTTTTTTGGTTTTTTAGTTGATGCTCTTTATGTTTCCTAATAACACAAAACACCCCCTCAAAGTTTGGCAGATATATCTTTTATACCTCAAAAAATACTACTAAAAAAATAAGTTTTAACAGATGCATGAAAACCTGCTCAAATTTGCATAGGTCAGCCCCTATAATTGATTATGTAGATATTTTAAGAATACGGGATTTACAAATGAATTTGGACCAAAAACAATTACTATGGCTAGGTTTGGGATCAAAGCAAAGATCGGATGTGTTTGATACGAAGAGTAAAGGGTTGTTTACTAAAGCACTTACCAAGTAAATATTTATAGGGTCACTTAGAATCGAAAACTTTATCCGCTAAACACTATTAGGGTAAGAACATGTTTGTTAGTAGCCTAATGAGCTTAATGAAACTCACAACTTATTCAGTCAACTATACACAACTATTTGACAGTAGCTTATTGATATAGAAAATAACTTATTTAGTAAGGTTCTAAGAGAACCTTTATGCAAATGGCCAAGTCTTTTCCAAAACATGTCCCTCTCAATTAAACAAAACACTTACTCCATTTATGGAAAAACTCCCCCAAACAAAGACCTTTCCAATTAATACAGATTAGTCCACACAGACAACTTTATCCATACATGACTTGATGGATAACCAACCAAACAACCCCTTAGAGTCATCACACTCACTTCCTAGGTAAGATTCTTGGCCTTGTAATGCTCAACCAGTAAGGTAAACGTCCTAGCAAGTAGTAAACACTTGTCAGGTTAGCATATGGTAGCTTAATGAGACTTGTAGGTTATTCATTCAGCTATACATGATTGTTTGATAGCAGTATGATGGCATAGAACATGACTTATTCAGTAAGCTTCTAGGGAGAGCTTTATATAGAAGGTAAGTCTTTTCAAAATCTACTCCCAACTAAATAAAACACTCATCCCATTTATGAAAAATCCCTCCCAAACAAAAACCTTCCCAATTCATACAAATTACTCCACACGTCTAGAAAACAAATCAAACATCCCCTTAAAAGTCACCACGCTCACTTACCGTGTAAGATTCTTGGTGCTCGACCAATACATAAATGAGCCAATAAGCGCTTACCCAATTAGCATACAATTAACGGGATGAAGCTGGGAATGCAACTCTTGGTGTGATGGGTGAACCTGCCCTGCATAAAAGACTAGAAAGAACATAAACTTGAGGTTTATATTAATTATTATCTGGTGGAATTGAGTAATGGGTTTATGGTTATGAAGACCATAAAGTCTTAAAACTGGCGACACATCCAACAATCCATAAATTCACAAAGATGAGGAAGAAAGAATATATGGTGGGAATAGGGCCAAAAATGTCTGTCAAGTAAGGCGTACAAAAGCAAAGCTGAGCAAGCCAAAAATCTCTTGAATCCTGAAGCTGAGGAATATACTCCAGACCCTGTCACCAGATTCTTATTCTACCAGACATAAAAGGTGGAAGCTGCAATCAATGATGTTCGTCACCATGACCATCTGGAGGTCCTCCTGGTCCCACCACTTCCAACTGTCAAAACATGAACCATCACATTTTATCAAATGTCATACGACCCATCATCATGCAAAATGTAAGAAGTAAGTCTTAACGTTGATGTGTTGATGTGTGTGAGAGAAGAAAATTAGTAAGTAGAGTTGCAATCAGGGAAATTGACCAAAATAGCCAATCTCTACAACCAACTTCACTTTTTAGCCACTTTTTCAATTGAATTCCGAGTTTAAGCAAATGTCTTACACATTTGCGTAAACTCGACTCAAATTTCAATTAAAAAAATTGCGTAAATATTCAGATTTTTGCACAAGGAATTATTTTTTTTACGCATATGCATAATGGATTTTTTTCCTTCCAGAAATCAGTTTTTACGCAAATGCGTAAAACATCTACTTAAAGATTGGCTATTTTGGAAAGTGGCTCTGAAAAGTAACTGAAGAGTGAATTTGGTTGATGGGATTGACTAATTCTCTCAATTTCACTGCAATTAGCAAATACACGGGGTGCATTTAGCCTATCCCTGATTAAATTCATGACTAGTGATTATAAAGCCATTTTTCTTGTAATAGGTCAGGATGTTAAAATCCCATTCGAGGTTATATACCTAAATGACCCTTTTTCATCATCCACATGTTACTTCACAAGAGAAAAAGCACAAGCAGGAAATCAATGTGTACTCAAATTCGAATTGGCTTCTTTTTCTTTTTCTTTTTCTTTTTGCTTACGGTTGCTTATGATTGTGACCTTCTCAACATACAACTCATTCCAATGATAGATTGCCACGTTCCGTTCCAAAAAAATCCTACTACTTCATCAAGAAGTTTCAATTCAGTCCATATTCTAATTTTGATCATGATTTATTCTCAGCTAAAAGAATACAAAATTTTTGATGATTGAAGGATGATTTGTGGTATCTAACAGCAATTAAATATTACTCCCTCTGTCTCGAAATAAATGTCCACATTAAAACTGGCACAGAGTCTTAGGAATATGTAATTATGTTATGAACTGATTTAATTGAACAAGGGAAATAAGAACAGATTGTTATGATCACTAAGGATGCTACAATTTGACAAGATCAAAAGGGTTTCTGGCTATTCAAGAGGCCAGAGCTCTCCTAAGAACACTCTTACTAATTTCTCGATGCCTCTCTTACTCCCCCACACTCCCTATTTATTAACAGACATAACAAAATACCATAACTAGCCCTTCTAATATATATATATATATATATATATATATATCTTACTAATGGGCTTGGGCTTGGGCTTGGGCTTGGGTCAGTGCATATCAAATTATTACAATTTTTAAGTAAGCAAATGACAATTTTACCCTAAATAATAGAGAGATAAATTTTCTCCATCTTATAATTAAAGGTAATATGGGAAAGTAAATATTTGCTTTTGAAAGTTGATACTCATCTTGGTACAAACTAAAATAGAAATGTGGATTTGGGATGGAGGGAGTAAATAAAATTTGAAGGGCAGAATGAAAGGTTAATACCACTCACCACAAAATATTGTGAGCATACTGGACATTCATGTGATTCGCCTTTCTTTAGCCAGAACCAAACAACATCATGCTCATCCTCTGTTTCCAAAAGATCCATAACATTTGTTAATCAGTTATCATACAAGAGAGCTAGAACAATCATAAGACATAATAGATAAAAGAGTTTTATCATTTATTATCATGAAATGGCACTGGGTAGAGTTGACTCACCGCCTTCCCCGCCAGGACATCCAACAATTCTTTGGTCATAGTACGATTTGACCACAGCAGGTGCTTCCTACAGGCAAATGAATATGACACATGAGATCATATTTTCAAAGGTGGTGCAAATGTGTAAGTTTCAGCCTAGTCAAGAACATAGATATAAAAATGGAGGCATAAATTGAGCTCCTTTCATGGTCAACAATGGTGAGTAGCTGAATTTTTCAGCCAAGAGATACAATTTTTACTATTCGTATCATTTTTGTTGTATATGGTTACTATAGAGGAATTTTGTATGGGGATATATGAATCTTCAAAAATGTAAAAAGGTATAATAATAAGCCATCTCTAGTAGTTTACCCAAAGCATGTTTTGGGAAGGCATTTTGTACTATGGATGAGTATGTCCATCCTTCTCTTGTAATTATCTTTTAGTTTTAGATAAAAAAAATTCCTGGGCTTCTGTCCCCTATACCATCTTCGCATTCCTTTCACCATCCAGCATCCTCAAGAGAATGAGTCACGCATACATACAAATGGCAATGTTTAATGAGCCCGAAGTCCAAATGCACTCTAATAACAGCAGTGTGGTAGAGTTTTACCCACTTCTGATAGTACGTTGAAAGATTGAAACAAAAGAGAGATCAATGGTCCAATGTGAACAGATTTCCAACATACAAGTGATAATATTATCAATTCTCCCACCATGCACCACCCAAAAAAGAAAATCAAAATGCCCTCACTGTTCCCCCAAAAGAAAACAAATAACCTTTTGGCAGGAAGGTGTGTCAAGCTTAACTTCAGTCCCCATCAAAGCCTATTTCTTATGGTAAAACAAGATAATGAACAGAAGTGATGGCCATGAACCATATTATTGAAATAAAAATCAAACTTAAAATCTAAAAAAAATTGCAATCCTGTATACATAAAAGCAACTGGTTAATTTGAAAAATAGTGAAAAGTCAAACAAAAACACGACTGTATACACTTGAAAGCCAAAACATAAGTTAAAAAAAAAAAAAAAATGGTTTTTACAGGAAATAAAAAACCATAAAGTTAGATCTAGTTTAAGATGACCCAAAATCACCAGAGAAGGAAATAGTTTTGACAAAATCCAAGTCACAACAACCATTTACTGTTTGATTCACCACCTCAAAAATACATAGCAATATAAAAGAGTAAAAGACCAGCAGTTCATGCTGATAACAAACCTAGAATTCATATTAGATTTCTTCTGTAATAACATAATACTAATAAATTTCTTCACATTAAATTTCTTCTGTAAATAACATCCCACCGTAATAGCTATTGCAGCACCAATATTAAGATCAGGTCATTCAGATTTAAGCACCCTGAGAACTCTCATAAAAGAAATAAGTCATGTTGAAAACATCAAAACTAGCAGAAAAGCGAGCCTTTGCTTGATACAAACCTTTTCATTTTAAATAAGTGCAGACAATAGCGAGTGTGTATGTGTCTGCGAGGGGGAGAGTGCGAGAGTTTGAAGTACAAAGGTCTTCAGCAAAGTCAAAAGAACATAAAGGCATATGAAAAAAAACACATAAAGTATATAGTGGTCTTTAGCAAAATGAAAGAACTTTGTGATGGCCACAATGTATATAATGGTCTTTAGCAAAATGAAAGAATGAAACTAAGAAAGAAACACACATCATTGAGAAAAGCCCATACAGTATATAAAGGTCTTTAGCAAAATCAGAAGAGCTTTGCATGACTCAAAGCCTCAGACTAATTTTTGAGATGCATGATACACTGATACAAGCATATTATGTTTTCTCATCCTAATTTCTAACTGCATATAATAACCTGAAGAGCATGAAAAAACAAGCATATACACACACCTCCGACGGCCAACACCCAAAAGAAGGCAATACAAAAATACTCACCACCTGCTATTTCCTCTAGCCAATAATAACTCCCCATCTCTGCATTCTTCTAAAAACATGTGTGCTATGTCCTAATGAACAAAAAGTTGTAGCGTCTTTCCTTCCAAACCTTTGCACCCTGATGAAAAAGCCCTTTCTTTTCTATTTTATTAGTAAAGCCTAAACATCCTTATTAAAGCCTAGCTAACGAGAAATCAAAGCGATAACGCACCTTTTGTAAGATTAGAATCGTAATAGGTCTAATGTTATGATTCTTAAAGAAAAAGGAAATAAGTAGAATCATATACAGTCATGCTAGTGGCCACAAAGACATTACTCCCTTTTCTAAAGAGGATCCTCGTTCAGCAAGTTGAAAATTTGGTTAACAGAGACAATATAATACTCCCTCTAACCCAGAAGAAAATTTCAATGCTTCCTTTCCTCAAAAACGTTCAAGTGAAAATATGTATGAGCACCTATTACACCATAACAAAGTCTTATGGTTTGTTTGGTCTATGAGATTTACTTCATTTTGAATGTAGCATTAAATGCAAAGTTTTCTTGTACATTTGGTCAGTTCGATAAAAGGTTGATAACCCATTTTCCACTGAAGGAGAGGATCATCACGGTACATTGTCATTTTGATATGGTATATGAACACAACTATAATGCAGACAAACCCTGTACAGCAGATATAATTTGGAAATGTTTACGAGGCTCTCACTCTTAGTCGATACATATCTGTTGTGATATCATGGAATGACATTGAGAAACCAATGACGCCATTATTAGTAAATTTTATGTTACTTTTACATACTTTTCATCTATATAGAAGTTTCCAATGCATTCAGATGTGAATTTCCACTTTTGCCTCATGTCTGTCTAAAACTCAATATACATCAATAAAATGTAGGCCGACTTGTGTCAAGTAGCCTAAGAAAGTAAGAAACCCTGACTGTCAGATGTAAGTAAAATCATTTCAGTCAACCGCAAGTAAGAGACTACTGATATGGTCAAATTTGAGTACACTACAAGAGCATGGTCAAATTTTTTTCTCCTTCAATGTGATAAAAGATGACAAATTCAATAGGTAACAATGTAACATCCAATAGCTATAACACTACATATAGATACGAAATTAAAACAATCCTCTATGGTCTAAATAATGAAACAAGCCCTTATACATTGGAGTTGTATCAAAAAATATACGGCATTAAACCTAGTCTCTAGCCAATGGAAAAGAGCAGTAACAAATTATGGGGCAGATAATGATTCGTTTGCTGCTTACATGAATATCACTAGATCATCACATTAGTTAGACAGATATTTTTATTAATTCTCCAATTAGTTCTCTTGTAAACAAAACTTTGCATGATGAACCGTATTCAACAAACATCTGTATATGTCTATAACAAAACAAGATTGCGACTAAATTATAGTTGTACTTGCCTTGGTACCAAAAGGACCTTCAGGAAAGTTGATGTCCAGAATATCCCGTCCCTAATCAAATAGAGAAACAGACAACCAACGGTAAAATCAATTTATCAAGCCAAAGTAGAGCCAGAAATGAACAAACAGCTAAAAAACTAAATCGCCATACAAAACCTGACCTCAATCTCAGCTTCAAGCTCCTCACGCTCGTGACCAGTCGCAATAGGCATTACATCTTCAACTCTCTTCTTAGAAACATTTCCTATCATTAGAAACAGTCACGCATCCAAATCCATAAATCTCGAAACAATTTCACAGATAATCACTAGAGAAAAATCCAGAATACATAACGGTCTGAATGAGAAGGAAAAATCCACCTGATACAGAAGAAATATGACGAGAGACAAGAGAGGCGCATGGCTGGAGAGTCACCGGCGACGGAGACAAAGTGGTAACGCCATAAGATCTCTGAACGGATCGGAATTTTTGAAGTTGAGAAGGCAATCGTCTCCACATGGTTCAGTGCCACCGGAACCCTAGGGTTTGGTTTGTTGATCAAACGTCGGCGAAATCCCCTTCGATTCTTAAATCAGAAAAGAAAAAGTCTCTCGGCCTCCTGTGGGAGAAAATGAAATGTAGGGGAAATTATCGTTTTCTGCGAGAGGACTGTGGTGGCAACCGGCTAATTGGAAGTCAAAGGACTAGAGGGTTGACCGGCCCGTGGGCCGGTGGGTCCAATGGCCCTTCCCTATAAAGAGTTGTACATCCTGCATTGGATCTTGTACCTTTCCCTCCATTGCAAATGGAAAGTTGCCACGCACACCATTGTTTTTTCGTATTTTTGTCTTAATAACTTTAAATATTTTAATCCAAAGGTAGATTATATGAAAAATTAACGTAATTTAATTTGATTCTTATTTTAAATAATTTATTTTTAAAATTCTAATTTGGTATTTAAGATATAAAGTTTTAAACATTTAAGTATTCGAGTAATCGAATTTTAGATTAAAAAAAAGACTAATTTTAGATTTAAAAAATTTCATATCACTAACCACGTCAACAAATGATACTGAGTTGGATACCACATCAGCTTGATAATTGGTTAATGCTTCAACCGGTTACTCGAATACTTAAATGTTTAAAACTTTAGATATTATGTACCAAAATAGAAGTTTTGAAAGTACGTTACCCAAAATATAAATCAAGTTAAAGTACTTTAGTTTTTCATGCAATTTGCCTTATTATAAAAGTTACTCTTTAAGCATTTAATATTTGTCAACATGAACCGAAAATCTTATTTAGTAACAAAAACACGGTCGTACTAAGAATATTTTACTATAAAAAAAAAGCTATCGATAGCTTTTACAAAATTATTATTGGTTTATTGATTGATTCCTTCTCTTGCGGATGTAATGTCTCGAAGGGGGGAAAAGCCACACAAATGAACCCTATGACAAGAAATTTGTGTCATTAGACTCAAGAAACATAGAAACACTCAACGAAACGATATTGTAGCACCCTTTAGGAACGCAATTTTTTTTTCCTTTTTGACGGAGTTGAAGTGTTGTGTCACCGTATGCCCTTGAGTAGGTTCGCCCCCGGTATTTCAAATACCAAGAATCTTTCCTGATAAACATGATCGTTTTTAATATGTTAAATGTGAGATTTTAAACAAGATCCTAAATTCTTGGGCCCAATTTTATGTTTCTTGGGATTTCAACATATGCAACACCTTATTTAGGTTCAAATTGTTAGGTTTAGATTTTAGCACATTAGGTTTAAGTTAAGATAGTTATTTAGCTTTTCTCGGTTCTTAACATATATGTATATATGATATGATATCTCATTTGTAGCGTAATTACAAGTTTTGAGTATAACAGGCCTCCCAAAAGATTGAAACGTCCCTCCAATAGGCGAGTGAGAGGCTCTCACTCAGTTAGCAGTTACCAGGTAAAAAAAACATTACCAACAATCCATTTTGATGGTCAAGAATATTATCCAATAAAGTTAGTGATAACAGTGACTCTTGCCGGTAAGCGGTTGGTACACGACCCCTAAATGTTAAAATAGTTAATTAAGTCATTCAGATTGTTTCTTCAATGTAACAATCGAACATCAATATAAACAACTTGATCTATACACAGACGACCATCAATCTTGGCAGCTTAATCCATACACAACTTAACAGAAAAACAACCATACAACACCTAAGTAGTTCAGTGAAACCATACTAACCCAGTAAATCACACATAAGATAAAGGTCGTTTGAAGGTAGGATGTATGCAAACTTTGTAAGCTTGATATTGGACCACGATGGAGGGTCATGGTACTACGGCATCTGAGAAGAACTTCTTGATATGGCTCATCAGCTCAGCTTTTGCTTGAGCCGTTTGGAGCTGGTCCCTTGG